ACTTGGGATAACACAATTAGAATGGTGGTAGATGGAAAAAAAAATAAAATAATAAGAATATGAGAATGGATAGAGATGGTTCTTTTAGTTGTAGTTGCAAAAAGTTTGAAGTGAATGTCATATTGTGTCGACATTGTCTAAAGGTGCTTAGAGATATATTCAATGCAACGGACCTTCCTGCACAATATATACTGAAACGATGGACTAAAAAAGTAAGGGCTGAAAGTGTGAAAGATAGACGTGAGTATGATGTTAAGGCTGATGTGAAACTACATCAAAGCGATTGATATAGGTCATTGATGACTATGTTTAGAGTAATAGCAAGTAGAGTCACAGAAAGTGAAGAAACTTATCATTTGTCAGTTTCAAAAAGTGAAGAATTGAGTGTAATGGTTGAAGACAAATTAAGTGTGCACATTTGTGGTCAAGTGAAGGTCATTGAATTGAGAAATTCCTCAACTAACACATGCCCACAGAGTGATGAAGTAGATTCTCCAATCCAAGCCAAAAGACTCAAGAAAAAACAAGCAACTAGTAAGGGAATAAGAAGGATCAAAGGCGGGAAGGAAAAATCTATTGCAAAGAAGAAAATGATGTAATCTAAGCAAGTAATTACATAAAAAATTGCATATGATTAAATGATATTTTTATATGAAAAATTGTAAATGAATAATGTGTCATGGTTATGTGTTACGTGTTATCAATTTTGTGTTATGTGTGTTGGAAAAATAATGAATTAAAGAAATTGGTCGTATGTAGCGTGCTATTTTTTGTACTCTCGAAGGTCAATCTGAGCCTTCTGTCGCCATGGGTAATAATTCTATTAAGGTTAGATTTAATCTTCTGTGCAACCTTGTATTAATCTTGTTGGATTGGTTCTTCTTGCAATCTAGTCCGGTCATATTTTTTATTTTCTCTGCATCGGTTGCATGTAGGGTGGTTCTTTTTATGCTTTCCAAGGTCAATCTCAACCTTCTTTCGCCATGGGTAATCATTCTATTTAAGTAATATTTAATATTGTATAATATTGTGTGAAACTTTTGACATGCATAGATCTTAGGGAAATTAAACCTCATACAGAACTATTGTTTTACTTTATTAATCTTGTTGGATAAGTAAGATTCCCACATGTCTTGAATTGGTTTTTCTTGCAATCTAGTCCGATGAATTTTTTGTTTTTTATGCATTGGTTGTATATAGTGTGTTTTGTTTATACTCCCCAAGGTCAATCTCAACCTCCTTTCGCCTTGGATAGTAATTATGTTCAGGTAATATTTAACATTATTTTTTTTATATGAAAATGCATTATAATTTTTTTTTTTCATTTCATATATGATTTTGTTTATGTTGGTTGTATTTTGGGTTATGCTCATGGTATGTATATTTCTCAATCTTGACCTCAATCTAAACCTCAACCTCTCTTTGCCATGGGTCATACAAGTGTTCATCCTGTTATATATTCTACATATGATGTGAGTTATAATTGTTTACATACTTTACATTGAAAGGGTAGTATACATTGTATCAATATGTTAATAAATTTAACAGTATTGCAGGGAAATAGCACGCCTCAGTCAATGCCTTTAGTGTATCCCACTCAAATATCATTTCAAGAGTTGCTTCGAGGTACTAGTGTTCAACACTTTGTAGTCCAAGTGTCGCAAGCCTTACATAGTCCTGCCGACAGTCATGTAGATGGACATCCCTGAAAGGCTTGCACTGAACGATGATGTTGTTATGTTTTTAGATTTGGGTCTTTTTTATTTTATTTTATGTTTTCAGTCTTTTTTGATGTTATTTTTTGCAATGGAAACAATGTTTAGAAAGAAAAATGGGTATATACTATGTTATGTTTGTTATGGTTGACATTATTATCATGGATTGATTGACAAACTTGTATGACAAGACCTACAAGCAAAATGGGTATTTATGTGTTTTCTGATTGTATTATTTGTATTTCTTGCAAAGGTGCAGTACATTTTTTTTTCTTCAATCGACCTCTTTTGAATGAAGTAACTTTTCATACGTGGTGATTTTTTTATTATAGAGCCAATGCAAATAATGCTTCTTTTGCATAGTGTTCTGCTTTGCTTAATTTGATAGCAAGGTTGTGATGGTGAGATAGTGGTAAATGGTTGTGTTCAAGAATAAAAAATAGAAAGTTGGTTGCAAGATTAGCAAAAATAAAAGGCCACGAGGAGGATTGACAAAAAATAGCAATGTGATTGTAACTATTTGGAAAAAAAAGTACCAAGGTAAGTGGAATCTACAATTCTCAAATAACTAAGATTTAGAATCAACAAAATTACATAGCATAGGTAACGTCATTAATTAAGCATTGTTTGGATTTTACATGCACATATAATAACCCATAGTGTAAGCTTCACAACCCAAATACAAGTTCTACAGGCAGTGGTTACATTCACTAGAAGTGGTTACATTCATTTGAGCAGCACCATTAGCATGGTAAAACCAACTATCACTATGGTTGTAAACATAATGAATCATAGCTCCTTGGTTTGCCTCAAGTCGTTCCAATCTATTCATAACTTCATTGTTTCTCTCAAAATCATAATCATACCCTCTCTCATCTTCATTCTTCACATGAATAGCTTTACTTCTCCTTTTGGATATTTGATGCATTCCCAGTAGGAGCCGTTCCCCATGCATAGTAGTCATAAATCTTATCTGCACACTTGAAATACAACCTCCCTAGATTTTTCTCTGCTTCTGATGTGTACACTGCTATTTTTTTCCCATATTTTCATTATTTATTTTGCAAGAATCCAGCATCATTGTTTGGACCCATTGACATGTTAATCCTAATTACAAGTAAACACAAAATTCATATTTGGATGTAACCATGAAACCTTAATCTAGGCTAGTAATTAAGCATGTACACACACAAAAAAGATAAACAGAAAAAGAAAAAAAAAAAGAGTTCATTTCCATCAATATCCAAGAGAACAAAATCCTTTAGAGTATAAACAACCCTATATTTCAGTATACACACTAACAAATAGAAAGCAACAGAAATTCCAATTAGAGAAAATGCAACCAGAATAGTTATATATAATGCAACTAGACTTAACATCAATGTTTGTGTGCATATTCTTATGCTAGAGTCATTTATTTGCAATTGTATATATATATTGTTAAGTCATATATAATGTAGTGTCATTTATTGGCCAACAACTTGCAAAGAAATAATTAGCCAAAAACAAATACATTTGATATCATATTTGAGCCCCACAAAGATATGGGTTATGGATTTATCCTGATGCCCTGTTTAGTTAGTGAAAAAATGGGAAAAAATAATAGTAAAGAGTAAAATAGCAAAGTGGATAAATTCAAACACATGGGCTAATCCAGACTTTCAGGGGCAATCCAGACTTTCTTTTTCTTTTTTTTTTCTTTTTTTTAAATCTTGTTGAAGCTATGAGGTCCCTCTCTTCTCAGTTCTCATTATTTCAGGGGCTCTTTTAATGCATTTTTTCTTTTACGTATCTGATCTATCCACACTTCAGCCTTTGTTCCTATGAGCATAGAATTGGCATTACATTGCCATAGAAATGTTGATATTATTGATCTCACTATTTCAATGATTAACAATCAAATAGTTTTAATAAACAAGGCAGTAGCTTCCTATTAAAAAAAAAAAAAAGACTTGGTTTTATTTTAGTCACCATCAAACAAAGTCGCAGTAAAGAGATGTTTTTTTAGAGTAAAAATATTCACATTTTATATCTTTAATCTTCAAAACCCTCTCTTCTCTTGTATTCTCTTCTCAGTTCTCATTATTTCAGTGACTCTTTTAATGCATTCTTTCTTTTAGGTATCTGATCTTTCCATACTTCAACCTTTGTTCCTATGAGCATAGAATTGGCATTACAATACTATAGAAATGTTGATATTACTGATCTCACTATTTCAATGATTAACAATCAAATAGTATTAATAAACAAGGCATTAGCTTCCTATCAAAAAAAAATCCTTGTTTTATTTTAGTCACCATCAAACAGAGTCACAATAAAGAGATGTTTTTTTAGAGTAATAATATTCAAATTTTATATCTTTAATCTTCAAAACAAAAAACAAAAAATAGTGTGTGAAATTCGAAATAGAGTGTGGATGTCATAATTTTTTTTTTTAAATAATCAAAGCAGAGGTGGAGAAATGGGTAAGGATCACATTCTATCATTTTTACTCTGAAGACCAAAGGGAGAGAAATTATAATGAAGACCAAAGGGAGAGAAACAAACCTCGTCGCCGCCTCACGTTCGTCGCCCCCTCTGTTCGTCTCTCGCTGCCTCCAGTTGCCTCACCGCCGCCTCTCCTCGCCTCCATCACCTTGCTAGGAAACCACGTCGCCCCAGCTCTCTCCGTTCGTTGCCTCTCTCGTTTAGATCATCGCCTCTTTATTCATCTGTCTTAGAAGCTAGGGTTCAAAAATGAAAAGGAGAAAGTAAAATAAGAAGGGGAAATTTTTTTTTTTATTCAAAACAACGTCATTTTGGCGGGGCGACAGGAAGGGCCATAGGAAATGGCAGCAGATTATCCAAACTCTACGCGTATATGCTTCAACAAATAAACATACAAATCTCCGAGCCTTAAAGTATACATACATCTCTCTCGAGCTTAGTTTGATTTTAATTTTGAATAATTTATGAAAGAGGATACAAATTAATTTAATCAAAATAAACACCAATTTTATATAAAACAATAATATTTTATTTAGACTGTGTTTGTAAATTTAGAAAGAAATTTGAAAAGCGAAAAAAGGAAGTATATAAAATTAAATGAAATATAAATATATTTTACTTATATCTTACCTATTTATTTATTTATTTTTAATTCTTGAACCAACCAAAACTTAAAATTATTTTTTCATTTTAAAAATAAAATAAAATAAATAAAAAAACCGATTCTTCAAAATCAAACAAAACAGGAGCCTGGCGAAGAAAGGCAATCCCGTACAACATAAGACCCGAAGGTCCGAGCCCAAACACGCTAGACTTTTGGTCAGCACGCTCTTCTCCATGGAAGAAAGAGAGTTTGTATTTGAAATTTTCACAGTGCCGGCCCAAGACAAGAGAGTACCAACCCATATAGAACTAACTATCACTACCAGTGTTCTTTCTTTCTGATAATTATTCATTCTGAATCTGCAAATAAAGGAAGGGAAAGGAAGGGAAAGGAAAGGAAAACTGAGAGAGAGAGAGAGAGAGTTTGGTAAATGTCGATGGGAAGCGATACGACTTGGGTGAGCAAGAAACCTCTGAGACGCTTGGGAGGAATGTCCGATGCCCTCTCCATCGCCTCCGACCTTGGTTTCTCTCTCCCTCCTCCTCCTTCTCAGGTCCTCTCTTCCTCTTCTATTTCTCTTTTTTGCTTTCAATTTCCGATTTTATCATTAAATCGATTTTTTCCCTCTTTTTTGAATATCAGCGAATGAAATTTTGATCAAGTGGTTCGTAATTTTTTTGATTCCCAGTTTAATAACACTTTTGGTTTGATCTTGATAGGCAACAATCATTCATGAAATTTTGACATTTTAATATGGAATCTTAAATTATATATATATATATATATATTTTTTTTTTGTATTTTTCCAAATGTAAAATGTTTAAGTGTGTAGGATATAGATTACAATTCAATACTTGAATTCAGCTCTACATACATAAATTTGACAATTAACATAAATTCACTGTTTTAGCATTGCAGTCCATTTGGATTGGGTGATTAGGTAGGAGAGAAAATGTCAGGATTGGAAAGTCTGTTTACTGGAAAGTATTTGTACTATTTTATATGTTATATTGATCAAACATTATATAAAGCAAGACAGTATCACTTGAGAAAAAATTTGATAGCATTTAGACTCACAAAACTCAAACTTTGTTGGACTGATAAAGGCATGCATTGTAGAGCACAGATAGACGAGCTTGTCTTCCTTCTTTAAGTAATGCTTACAATTGAGACTTGAGATAAAGGGTTTTTTTTTTTTTTTCCCACCTCACCTTATGCACTAAAAAGTGGTTATGGACTTGTTGACGTATAACTTATCTTATGCCTAGTGTAGGTATATATGGACCCACCCCATATATGTGGCTTCTCCTGACGCCGCCATGTTATTCACATCATGGCTTCCTCCACAAACCTTGCATGCCATGTGTGTCCCCCAACCAATGGGCGCACGTGTACCAATCAGTAAGACGAAACGCTATGACTATGCTTGGTCTTGCTTGGCCTATGTGGTCCATTAGTAGCTCCACCAAATGAGTAAAGCCTCTCGCACTCCTCATTATTGACCAACTCGATTACTTCCACCTAGCTATATTTCTCCATCTCAAAAAACAAACACCCCATGATTATGCGGGTTGGGAGCAGGGCCCTGATACTAGTACCCTTGGAATCAACAGAAGACTTGTGAATTGGAAGCTAGATTTCAAAGTTCTTCCAAGTGCTCGCCAAGCTCCTCTCGAGGGATGAGGCATGCTTGGACCAATTTAGACACATCAAATATTGTATCATACACCTAGACTATTGGATATTGGTCAAAGATCATTTTTCCAAGTGTTCAAGTGTTTTATTCCCCCATGATATTGTATCATTCACTCTTACAAGATGTGAGGAGGAAAAAAAGAAACATTTGGATTATCAATTAAACACTCAAAAAACAACTTACAAGAGAAGAACCCCAAAGAGTGAATGCACCAAATCCTTGAATTGGGGGAAGACTTTGACAAGGATAAGAGAAGTAAGTTCATTGGTCTCCCGATCATTGAGATTTCTAAAGAAATTAAAATCCCAAGACATTGGCGCTGAAACAGAGAGTCGTGGAAGCAATTGACATTTTATGGTTTCTAGATAATTGATACAATTGTGGAAACATTTGAGCAAATGAAAATTTCCCCCCTCCAAGAGGCATCCCCAAATCTAGTAGGTTTCCCATTACTCACTTTTAGCTAAATGAATTGAGGGAACCTGACCAGGCCCTGTGAAATAAATTTCCAAGGAGAGCGATAGGTTCATCTCTCTACAATGACCAAGTCCCACCCAATAGTTTGAAGCCCATATTTGCTTTTAATAACTACAGGTCATAAAGATTCACTTTCCCTAGGGAACCTCCGCAACCACTTGCAAAGTAATGCAATACTTCTATCAATAATGTGGCACACACTAAGACCTCCCTTACATTTTGGAAGGGAAGGCAACACTCCAGCAAATGCTCTTTGCTACCCTCACAACTACCTTCCCAATTAGTGGTATTTGTAAGTTTTTGCACTTGTGTGTGTCAATTCTTTTTTTTTTTTTTTTTTTTTTTTTTTTTTTGGTGGCCAAGGTATATTTAAATGTTTTCAGCATAAATAATGTATTATAATTAGATTTATTTTGAACAGTCTCATCTTGAGGGACATTCGTTTGTTGCTGTGAAGTTTCTTCTTTTTTTTTTCTTGAATTATTAAGTTGTTTTTTAATATACTGTAAAATGCATGAGCACTGCATAGTTTTTGCAAAGAAATATTTGAGATGAATGAATTGTTTAGTGTATCAGGGATAGTCAAGATCTCTAAATATTTTCTTTGAAGTCATTGTTTATTTTGTTTTCTTTGATTAATATTTAGTTTTAGTTTATTACTACAGGTTGAAGAGGCATATTTTTTGCTTGAATGAGTTACTATCTTTAGTCTTCATGTTCTTACGCTAGTGGTTTTAATTGCTTGATTACTATAATGTGGAATATTGGAATTTTTTGGTTGAGTTACTTTTCTTTGGTGTAGGAAGAGTTTCAAAACTTATCCACTACTACTGGTGAAAAGGGTGATGACTTGATAAGGGTTTTAAGAGAACTTACCACTGTACAAAGAAAAATAGCAGATTTGCAAGTGGAACTTCAAGGTCGCAAGGTGAATTGGTCAAGATTAATTTCCAACTCTCATGCATCTTTAGTTTCTAGGTGCTGAACATGCACCATGACCTCTTTTCCAAATATTAAACCTCCAATGAAAATGCTCTACCAAAAGTACATGATCTTAATTGTATTATGATCACAGCTTGAAGTCGTATAGGGGAAGAATATGTTGGATGGTAGGGGAAAAGAAAGAATGTATCATGTGTGGGCTGTATGGGAATGTTCCAAATTTCTTTTCCAATTTTCTGGTTGGCAATTACTGGCACTTAGGTGTATATATATTCACCACATACATCCAATCACGTGTATGTGTATGCCCTTGTGTATGTGAAGATTTCCTTTTGAACTAATATTTGCTTGTCAATCTTCCCAAGTTTCACGAATATATCCCTTCATAAGGTTTTTAAGATAAACTTAAATGTCAGATATCTTTTGGATGGATGGATGGATGGATGTATGCCACATAACTGGATCTTCATGTCTTTATGGTCTGTGGAATATGAATCTTGGATACCTTTCACCATATTGTTTTCAAACAAGTGTCTATTATTGTTATTTATTATTATGCCCATGGAGAATCATGTTTGTTCACTGACCCCATTTCCTGGGTTCTATATTTACACTGCTGTTTAAGGGGCGGTTGTAACCATAGAAAGAAGGTCACAATTTGAGACTTGTGCTTAGCACCTTATGCAAATATCTGTAAGATGTTTTTGTATCTTCATTGGAACTAAACTCCTGAATTTGATCTTGCCATATTTCGTTTAAACTTTGGCATTGATTTATCTTATTTACATGATTGGGAACTTTTAGGAGGATAAGAATGTAGCACATTTGACACATGTGAGTGAAATGGAAAAGAAGATTGAGACTTTGGCAAGAATTACGACTATATTGAAGGATGTCATTCAGAACAAGGTAATTTATTTCGTTCTAATCTTTGCCCATCTCTGCATCTTTGATTGTTATGTACCTTAGATTGGGATTCAATGACTTTGCGTCAGATCCTTATGTTTCATTTCTTGTTATCACAAATACTAAGCATGCACTCATAAATGCATGCAAAAACACTTCCACACTAGTTTTGTTCCCTTGATTGTAGAAATAAGAATGCATTAATTGTCAGACTTATCATGCTGTAAATTATCAAGTGGTCTAGTCCGTAGGGTTCATTGAGTACCTTGTTTTTATGCTCTAGGTTAGTCATGCTGTTTTGGGGCAGTGCCATCTGAGTTTTCACATAATTGAACTTTTGGGAACAAAGAATAAGCTGTCCTTATGTACATAAGATCTATGCAAGGGTGAATATTTTAATAGCTGCCACAACCTCAACAACAATAAGCAGAGAAAGAAGAATTGCCACAAGAACATTAAAACTTTTCGAGCAGAAAGAATTCAAGGACTCTAACAAGGACATGTCGCTTACTTACTTAGAAGTCTATATTCCATTGTATGTTGAGATATTTTATCACTCTCTTTCCTATGACAAAGCTATGGAGGTTTTACACCTTCTAAATGTTTAGGATCTGCTGGTTTAGTTTTACATCCCAAGCATATAGCATGCTCCTTAAAGTTTTGCATTTTTGGTATTTTATTGAGATTGATGGCTTTTTTCTTTTTTTTTTTGGGTCCTAAATAGTCTATTATCTGGTAAGCCCAGAGTCTGTGCACACATGCAAGCAATAGAGGGAGAGGGATAATTTTGTATTTTGAGGTCTTTCTATGGATACTCCAAAGAATTATGAGAGAGATTGAAAAAGTTTCTTCTTCTTCTTCTTCTTCTTTTTTTTTTTTTTTTTTTTTTCTTTAAATCAGTTCTCTTGCAAATAGGAAACTCGCTATCAAGTGGTCCTTTTGGATGTGTTACTTCAGCAAGTGAATTGCAGAATTAACTTCGAACTTTAGTAGTGATTTTCCCCTGAATTTGGCTCCAAGGACTAGTTTCTTAATCTTCCCTCATTTCTTTTGGCAACACAATGAAGTGACTTGATTATTCTCTATTGTACCCTTACCTCATTGATATTCCATCTGTCTTGGCAGGACCGCATTATAGCTCGTCTTCAACAACCATATTCACTTGATTGCATCCCCGTGGAAGCAGAGTTTCAGGTTGGTCAATGATGAATTTAATTTATTCTCATATTATTTTTGGATAATTTCTGTTATGTAATCAAATGTGTGCCAATTCTTTTTTCTGTCTTTCTTTGGTAGGAAATTCTTTTATGGTTGTAGCATTTTCATATTGGTTAAGATTTTAGAGTAGGTAAGTTTTGGTCCCAGTATTATACAACATGAAATACCAGGTTCTAAGGAAGTAGGATTCTATCTCTTCTAGATGATCTTGACTTTATGAGCAGGGTTACTTTAGAAAATTGAAATCCTTGATATGGATCAATCAGCAGTATATGTTGTTTGCTTTTAGTTAGCAAAGATCACTCTGTCCTATCTTTAGCCAATGCCTTCAAGAAGATATTCCTCGTGCAATTAGAGAAATACATATTATATGGTGTTTGTGTAATTTGTCCAATCTATAGTGGTGTCCTTGAGAGTTCATATTACCCACTGGTCCTGGTTACCTGTTTTTCATTACGTCACAAATTTTTCCATAACTTCTTGCAAATTTCCAAGAGAATGTACTTATGAATTGCGATGCATGTATTGCATGCAATCTATCTAATAAGGTGATTTAGTTCAGCAAAATTTATGATTACTGTTTGTCCAACTAGTCTTTAATTTAAACTGATTTGGATAAATTTGTTGTTTTCCCACACTTTGAATTTTCATTATTGGAAAAGACGAAGAAAAAGTTTAGTAATAGAGTTCACAGTTTCTCTTTAAGCGTGTCACCAGACCTAATGAAATCATTGAATTGTTGAGGTTGTTTATGTTAGATACCTATCACCTACTTCACCCACTTAAACCTACTCCACTAAACCTAACCCACTACACCACTACCACCTCACCTACTCCACTAAACCTAACCCACTAAATCCACATACTCTCCACCTACTTCACCCACTTAAACCTACTCCACTAAACCTAACCCACTAAATCCACATACTCTCCACCTACTTCACCCACTTAAACCTACTCCACTAAACCTAACCCACTAAATCCACATACTCTCCACCTACTTCACCCACTTAAATGTTCCGATTTGGAGGGCCGCCATATGCTGTAGTGGAGGAGCAGGGGGGAGTGAACGTGCTCGGCGGCGTGGAAAACACGGAGGCAGCACCGTCAAGGGCCGCTCAGGACGGAGGCAAGAAGAAGAGACCGGCGGCAGAGTAGAGAAGAAAAAGCCCGCCTGTGGATGTGGTTGTTTGTTTGTTTTTTTTTGTTTTTTTGTTTTTTTTTTGGTGTAAAATTGTGATCGGGGTTGATCCCTGAAATGAATAAAGCAAGTGTGTTTGGCAAACTCGAATGGTAGGTGTGGTATAATAATAATAATAATAATAATAATAATAATAATAATAATAATAATAATAATAATAATAATAATAATAATAATATGGGTATCATGGAGTGGGCGGTGGTACAAAAATATTGTGTAGAAAAAGAGGGAGATGGTGGAAAAGGGAGGCCACTCATGTTATTAAAATAAATTAAGGAATTAAAAAAAAAGTGGTATTGGTTGGCGAAATAAATATATATATGAAAAAAGGAAAAGGATGAGAGCGTTGGCGGAGGGACAGGCCCATGTGGCTGGTATGAAGTTGGGTCCATTGTGTTTTCATCATAAGAAGTGAGTGGGTGATAAAATAAAAGAAAAAAAAATAAAATAAAAAGAAAGTTGGGTGGTGGAAAATTATTGTTTAGACAGAGAGAAGGCATGTGAGGTGTAAAGTGGAGGACAAAATAAAAGAAAAAAAAAAGGTGAGAAATGTGATGATTTCTGTCCCTTCGCACAAAAACAGTACCACTACCACTCTCTCTCTACCATTTGTTGTCGAATTTCAATTCACTGTGATTTCGAGGAGAGAGATTGAGGCTGTGAAGATGATGCCATCGACAACCAACGGTGCTGATCTGAATCAACAACAGCAACAGCAGCTGTGGATGCAGCAGCAGCAGATTCAACAGCAACAACAGATACATCATCAACAGCAACAACAGCAGATTCAAGGTTCAAGTGATGAGAATAGGACGATCTGGATTGGTGATCTTCAACAATGGATGGACGAAGGTTACATCAACACCAGCTTTGCTCACACTGGCGAGGTGTGAGCAAAGCAGTACCACTACCACTCTCTCTCTCTGATTGCCTCGAACTCAAGCTCTGCTTCGATCAATACCAGTTCAAAGGGTTTCAACAGTTTGTTAAAGATCACTTTGAAGGTAAAGGCTCCCAAGATGGACAACATTGTAGATGCTTTAAATAATGCATACCAGGAGTTTGTTGCTGCAGCAGCTGGCATGCTTGAAGCTAAGGAGAGTTCCGGTGGCCAGAAAACAGCAGTTACTGTTGCTGCTCTAGAAAACTTTAAGCAGTGTCAAGAACTGTTCAGAGTGGCTTGTGATCAAGCTGAAGAGTTCGTGGAGTCTGTGAAGCAAAGGGTAGGGTCGGAGTGCCTGGTTGATGAAGCCACTGGCTCGGTGACTGGAAAGCCAGGGCAGGCTGTCACAACTGGTCTTCCGCCTATCAGTGCAGTTAGGTTGGAACAGATGAGTAAAGCGGTCCGGTGGCTGGTGATTGAACTTCAACAGGGTTCTGGAACTGCTGGAGGTTCATCGCATCCCCATCCTTCTGCACCTTTTGATGCTAGATTTTCTGAGGATGCAGCTCAATAGATATCTGTTTCCAGGGCAAGAGGATGCTGGCCATAGGAAGTCCATTGATACATTTGGACAGAGGACTTCACAGTATAGAGGTGTCACAAGGCATAGATGGACTGGTAGATATGAAGCCCATCTATGGGACAACAGTTGTAAGAAAGTTGGAAAATGCAGGAAAGTGAAGGTATGTGTACAAAATTCCAGCGGGCAGCGAAGGCAAGGTTGCCGGCCGGCTGCCCGCCGGTGAGAAAACAAAATACGGGCCTAAATCTTATGGCTCTGATACCATGAAGAAATTTAATGTATAAAGAGAAATAGAGAATTGTATTATTGATTGATGTATATTGTGTTTATAATGAGTCGTATATATAGAAGATTAAAGGAGGTAGGTATGTAGTAGGTGGAGTAGTAGGTGGAGTAGGTGAAGTGGGTAGAGTAGGTGTGGTGGTAGGTTTTGGTACATTTTAACAATTTCTGTTATGTAATCAAATGTGTGCCAATTCTTTTTTCTGTCTTTCTTTGGTAGGAAATTCTTTTATGGTTGTAGCATTTTCATATTGGTTAAGATTTTAGAGTAGGTAAGTTTTGGTCCCAGTATTATACAACATGAAATACCAGGTTCTAAGGAAGTAGGATTCTATCTCTTCTAGATGATCTTGACTTTATGAGCAGGGTTACTTTAGAAAATTGAAATCCTTGATATGGATCAATCAGCAGTATATGTTGTTTGCTTTTAGTTAGCAAAGATCACTCTGTCCTATCTTTAGCCAATGCCTTCAAGAAGATATTCCTCGTGCAATTAGAGAAACACATATTATATGGTGTTTGTGTAATTTGTCCAATCTATAGTGGTGTCCTTGAGAGTTCATATTACCCACTGGTCCTGGTTACCTGTTTTTCATTACGTCACAAATTTTTCCATAACTTCTTGCAAATTTCCAAGAGAATGTACTTATGAATTGCGATGCATGTATTGCATGGCAATCTATCTAATAAGGTGATTTAGTTCAGCAAAATTTATGATAACTGTTTGTCCAACTAGTCTTTAATTTAAACTGATTTGGATAAATTTGTTGTTTTCCCACATTTTGAATTTTCATTATTGGAAAAGACGAAGAAAAAGTTTAGTAACAGAGTTCACAGTTTCTCTTTAAACGTGTCACCAGACCTAATGAAATCATTGAATTGTTGAGGTTGTTTATGTTAGATAGCTTGATATACATTGTTGGGCTCATTTCCTAGCAGCTTAAGCTTCCACTACACCACTACCACCTCCACTTCACCTACTCCTTACCTACTACACACTCACCCTCTTCTATATATAGGAATCATGAATCATTGTAATAAATATCAAGATACATCAATCAATAATACAATTCTCTATTTCTCTTTATACATTAAATTTCTACAGCTTGATATACATTGTTGGTCTCATTTCCTAGCAGCTTAAGCTTTTGGAAAAATTGGTGATTTAACATGATATTAGAGCTCTACTTGAGAGAGGTCTTGGGTTCAAGTCTCTCCGCTGGTATTTGGTATTCTATCCCCATTTGGTTTTTTCCTCTCTGTTTGGTTGTTTGCTTCTTCTTCTTTTGTTTGCTTCCTTGTTTGTCTCTCCACGTGTAGAGAGGTCTTGGGTTCAAGTCTCTCCGTTGGTATTTGGTATTCTATCCCCATTTGGTTTCTTCCTCTCTGTTTGGTTGTTTGCTTCTTCTTCGTCTTCTGTTTGGTTCTTTGTTCGTCTGTCCACATGCAAGGCGGGATTGCACGTGAGGGAGGGTGTTAGATAGGTTGATATGTATTGTTGGACTCATTTCCTAATAGCTTATGCTTTTGAGAAAATTAGTGACTTAATAGTTTATTCATAGCTAAGATGTATGGACAATTCGAAGAAGGTGCAATGACCATGTTAGACATTGACACTCGTCTAAGACTCTTCAACAACAACACGTGTTGGACAGATCCAAACGAGACCTATTATTAAATTAAAATTTTTTGGACTTAGACTTTGGGGGCACACATGTCCATCGCTTAGACGCACAAGAAACACAACACAAGTTTGAAAAAAAAAAAAACTTGGAATCTAATGATAAAAGAAAAATAATATAGATTTTATACATATTAATCCTTTGGGCATAATTACATGTACTTGTCTTCCCTTGTCAAGAGTTGTCGGGGAAATGGCATTAACGTTGTCATTGAAATAACAAAAATATCCTTCCATAATAAAATGACTAAAAAACCCAAAAAAATACTCATCTTTTACCATGACATCACCACACACAACTGCATCCCCCCTATCTTCAAAGTTCATACCCCTTTCTCTAAACTTCACCCTTTATGCAAATCCCCATCAACAAAGCTAGTTAACCATCACTAAACTCCACACATCACCCCCACCAGCCCCAACGACTACCCATCGCTGCCACCACCAAAGCCATTGCCTTTACTGCCTACCTCCTTGTGATAACCCCTTTATTGTCATTGTGGTTGTGAACCACCCATTCCCATTCTCATTCCCCAAACCCTTCCACCACCCAAGCCTCCCTACTTGGCCATTTGCTAATTTGTCAATCCATTTTAATAATCACCATTTGAATTGCAAAATCTTAGTAGTCAAAGGTTACGGTGGTGATCAACAAAATTTGATTTAGCCGATTGATTGGTTTGTTTTTACAAAGGGTGGTTTGTTTACAAATATATGTGTGTGTGTGTGTGTGTGCGTGTGTCCAAATCAGATTCAATTATTTATATTTACAAATCAGATGCAATATACATGTTCGTGCTTTGTTCTTATTTTATTTTGCTTTTTGTTTTTTGTAGCTTAAACACGCCTACATGCAGGCTATTTATGTATATGCTTGTTAAAACTGCTCTTTTGTGGCGGTGGATGATTGGGCATTTTTCCTTGCCGTCATTAGTTTTCTTGAGAGCTTAGAACTGGGTGGTGGTGGGATTTTAGTAGTGGTGGAGGTAACGGGTGTTGGGTGTTTAATTTTGAGAATAATATTTTGGTGGGATGTTTGGTTGTAGTGATAAGGAATGGAGTACAGAAACAAAGGTAAAATATTTTGGTTACAATCTATAATATATGCATATTGTGAGTAAAAGTAACGGACGGCAACGTAATTTAAAAAAATCACTTCACACGCCACTTAAAATCATAGTACACACCAATTATGCCGTTTAGATATAAACTTTTGAACAAAAGTCAAATGTTCAGACATAAACTTTAAAACAAAAAATAGTTGTTCAAATATAAACTATTGAACGGAATGTATATCTAAACAATTCCTTTTTGTTCGGACGTTTGACTTATGTTTGGAAGTTTATATATGAACAATAAAAATGGTGTATATTGAGATTTTTTGTAGTGTGCGAATAGAATTATCTTCCATGTAACTAGCCCTAATCCTTACTCTTTTAGATTTTAGGAATTAGCGTTATAACACATTTTTTTATTATCTTTAAATGAAATATCCATATATATGATATATAATAAATATATAAATAATATATTTTTTGGGCATGACTCCCATGTGTCGTGTTTTAAATTTTTTTGAAAATTACCGTATCAGCATGTCCATGTCTTGTCGTATGTCTGTGCTACTTATATTCAAAATTAAGAAATTCATACGTGCCTAGAAACTAATGCGTTAACTATCAAAATCTCTGCATTTAGTCAAAAAAAAAAATCTTGCTGGAGGCTGTTTATTGGTTGTCAGAGTTCATTTTACCATTACAAATCACATTCTTATGCCATGTGTTGCTTGGGTGTGCAGAAACAATTTTCAGAGTTACTAATGAAGGCTGCAAGTGATTATGGAGCCTTGACTGCATCTGTTGCAGATTTCCAGTGGAGTCAAAACTTCAAGGAACCACCTTCTGTATGGGGGGTAAGTTACAGGAATGTTGAATTTGGATAGGGATTTGAAAATGGAAAGGAAAATTTGAGGAATTTTAGTTTATATTTCATTTATATTTCCCTCAAATTTTCCTTTTCATTTTCAAATTCCTATCCAAATCCATGATCCAAACACAACCTTATTATTATCATAAGTTCAGAATGCACATTGCATCCTACTTCGTGCTCTAAGAGCATTTCTTTCAGCTTATTCTAGGTCAGTTATTATGTTAGAAATAATATGAAATTGCTTTTCACTATGGTTTGACACCCCCATAACCTCACTATGGTTTGACACCCCCTAACCCCCGGGGAGTCTCTTTTATTGTCTATCAGATTCACCCTGATATGAACTATGAATTTTATGACTCCAATTTCAATTTTTTGTATTTGTACTTGTTGGGAACATCAGAGAGTGTCTGGAAACCTCATGAAATTCCACTTTAATTTTAACTTAACCTGTGGAGGTTGTCATTTTTAGGATGATCTCTTAGCCTAAAAGAACTCAATTATGAAAACAGTATTTGCGTTAAAATTTTCTTCCTGTAGTTTTTAAACTGTCATGACGTCGTGGGGTGGCCATTAAATCCTATGTAAAACATGACTTGTTCAAACTTCAGAAGCATTCATCAAACTAGTGGTTTCCTATTTTGCCCCAAATTTCAATCTGTTTATCATTTCTTAAAATTTTGAGGGAATTCATAGATTTTATGAAACAAATTCATTCGACATACCCTATTAAAAGGATGGAATGTGTTCCTGTTTACTGCCATGTGGTTTCCGAGTGCCCTTTTCTTTATGATTGCACAGCACGAGGAAATTGTCTTCTCCTTTAACTGATTGGATTATGGATTTAGGTAAAGATTTGGAAAAGGAAAAGAAAAGACGAGGGAAATGGAGAAAATTTAGCTTATATTTCATTCGCATTTCCCTCACATTTTCCTCTCTCTTTTTATATCCCTACCCAAATCCATGATTCAAACGCAGCCTAAGCAGGTGGTTTTCCTGCAAGATCCAACCTTGATCTCGGTGTTTAAATAATGCAGGAAATGCTCCGTCCAATTCCTGTCGCTTTAGCATCTTGTACCCGATTCTTTGAAGCCATGTCTGCAATGAGGGAATCATTTGCTACACTTCAAAATTTGAGAGTGGGTCATTCCTCTTCTTCCTTGCATGCAACACCAGCCAAGGATTCTTCTCAAAGAGCACTAGGGGATTCTGAATGCGTGACCCCACCTCCTTGGAGGAGTGAGTCAGAAGATTTAACTCTCAGAACCCTCAGTGGTCCAAAAGCAGAAGATGAACGTAGCGAAGTAGGCGACACTAATCAAGTTGATGGCACAAGCCACAGGATATTGTCCTGGCCTCCTTCAGTAAAAAAGAGTGGATTATAGCGAGGTTTTTTCTATATTAATTGTGTATGTGTGCTACATTTTCATTATGGTGTGATTCTTTCTGCTCTTCCTTTTGCAGCGGTACCTCATCTTTTTGTTTCTGTTTTGTATTGTGTGGGCGCTTGCATGTTTGGTTATCTTATTCATGCATATAGTCTTTAAATGCATTGTGTGTGATGGGCTGTTTCAAACAACCACAGTTACATACGCATCTTATTGCGCTTAGTTCAGTTTAAAAGACACCGGGTGATTTGCCCTTCACAAATATTGGGAAGTTGATAGGTTTTTGGTAACTAGCCCTAACACGGTTTAATTTGGAGAGGGGACATGCTCTGAGTTTAGCATCAGATGAAAATTGGCTTTTCGAAACCGTCCAACAGTGGTAATCACTCAATCTCATTCATTTTTAGCTTTTGATGTTTTTTTTCTAGAAATGATATGTGAATTTCACCATCATTTCTCTATCACAGGGAAGAGACAAGGAAGGTGGAGATGGGCTCAAACGCTAGCAGGCACGCTTGCGTGTGATATAATCGAGGCCAACTCGGATTTGGTGAGTATACAAACATATATAATATGCTCTACTCAATTATTAGGAGATTTTATTGATTTTTGGAAACATTTCAAGGAGCATATACTTTTGTGCTGGAAGAATATTTCCTATGAAAGAGTTTGTGGTCACCTCTATCTCTTTCTTTCAAAAGAAAATTAGAATACATTTCACAGCCAGATATTGGAGAAACAACAATTCTAGGAGGAAAATATATAACAATTACCTACACTAATATCTTTCAATTAAAAAAAAAAAAGAAGCAGCAAAATTCACTATATATTTTTGTGATATAGCTTGGTCGTAGCATTGACTAGTTATCTTTTAAAATAGTCCTATACCCTTAGGCCATGCTTGTTTGAGCGGACTGGATTAGCATTGCTATGACTAATAGTCCTAGGACTACGAATCCGTTGGATTATGTATCATATCTTAACTAATAGTCAAGTTTAAAATAATTAGTCCGTACTTCAATTATTTAACCAAACATCGGATTAATAATTTTATTGGACTATTAATTCAATTTCAAGCTCATGTCTACCCAAACAAATATGACCTTATTGTAGTTTTGGACTAAATTATTATTATTATTATGTTTTTTATTCAATTTGCAAGATGATGAAGTTCTTCAACCACCTACCTCCTCTTTTTGTAATTTTCTAATATGCTTACATGCTATATATATATCACTATTTGTAAATATTTGTATATCTATATATCTACAAAGATTGCCAACTAAAATTATGTTGGATTTGGTAGTGGAGGTAGGGTCGATCCTGACTATTTTGGAGCCCTAAGCGAACTATAAAGATGAGATATTTACACCAATAAATTTTTTTTTACAGGTACAATAGCAATTATACTATTTGTTTACCTAGTTTAAGATATGAAGAACTTATTAAAAAAATTCAAAAAATAAAGTAAGGTTTTATTGTTTCATAGTTTAACAAAACCCTATTTACAATGAGAAAAATATTGAAACAAAATCTAAAACTGTAATACCAAGAAATAATTGAATCATTTGCAATAAAACATTAACATTATTTTTCTCACATTTTTAGCTACAAAATTGTTAAGGAAAAATAAGCTATTGTTTTTTTCTCAAGATTATCATTGAATTCTATGTTTTAATATAGAAAACTAAATTCTATTTTGATAACTTGTTTAAAAAATTCATATTTCCATAATATTAAGTTTTATTTAAATTTATCATTTCTCAATAAAATATCGGTTACATTTTTATGACCGATCATTTTTTTAAGAGTAAATTATAAATATATACTTTAAGATTTATTTAAAATACGAATTGTTTTTATGATTCTGAAAATTACATTTCACTTCTTAAAGTTTTTAATTTCATAACAAATAGTCTTTTTAATTAATAAATCATTAAGTCAATTAATAATTTTTAATTATGTTAGAAATATATTTCAATTAATAATTCAGGTAATTTTATTATTGTATTGGTGAGTAGTTAGGAGTTTTATTTTTTTAATTAATTTTGTTAAATAAAAAATTCTGACAATGAGATATTTATAATTTTTTAAATCACATGAGCAATTAGTATTTTAAATATATCTTAGAATGTGTATTTATAATTTATTATTTTTTAATAAAAAAAGTCAAAGGGGAATCAAATATACAATTATGAAGACTTGATTTTTGTTAATCTCAAAGGAATAATAGCTTTTACAAATAAGAAAATGTTTTATCGCTACATCCATTTCAGTTTTTATGTATTCATGTAATAAATGACAATTGTATATATCAAACCCATTGTATTTAAAAATTTATAAAATTCATCATGCCTTATGAGAAGTTACGTAAAAGGTAAAGTTTTGGTGAAATATTTAAGGTTTGTTTGAGATGTTCTAATTAAATGTATTTTTTTATTTTTTATAAAAAAAATGTGTAGAAAAATAGAGAGGAGATGTTGATTGATGTGATTTCAAAAAGATAAAAAAGATAAAAAGTGTAGACTTATTTAGTCTTCTTAAATTTGGCCTTATGTGATATGATTTTGGAAAAATTGTAAAAAAATTATCTCACATAAAAATGTTGCACGTGTATTAAGTATGAGAAAGGGACAATTACTCTGCAGTGATGTCTGAGGAAACAAATTAAACATAAATAATTAAAAAAAATTAATTTTAATTATTAATATTTATTTAGTTTTTTATTGATTTAAAATTTGGTTTCACAAGCCACATGAGGTGTAGTTTACCCTATGAGATGCATATCGGGTTTGTGAAATTTGTTGGGTATGACTGTGGCACGGCACGGGTACACTTTGAGAACTATTGTGGATACATTTCGGGTAAAAATGAAATTTTAAAAAAATATAGGAGTATTGGAATAATTATGTTGTTTATTTTTTCAAAAAAAACAAAAACAAAATACAAGTTATTTTTTTAATTATTAAAAATATATATTTTTTAAAAAATACATAGGGTTGTCTTTGGCCACTGGGTTTGGATAGGTTTTGAGTTATTTTAACCACAAAAAACAAAATAAATTATTTTAGTCATAACAAACAAAATATCTCATGCAATTTATAATTATTACACTCTTCTCTCATAAAAAAAAATTTAAAAAGTCAAAAAATTAAAAAGTCCTTCCCAAATCAAGCTTTTTAACCCAGATTAAAATAGTCAAAAAGTCAAAAAATCACCCCACTTCCCAAACTAATTTTGATCTTAAACTCTAGCTTGAATCTTACTTTAATTATTTTTGTATATGATTTTTTAATTGTTATATGTTATATATCATATACAACTATAAATTATAAATAAATATTTTTTTATGCACGTATACCGACATTTGTATCGTGCTTCCAAGAGTATAATTAATCTTTTATCACTAATGTAAAGTATTGCAATTTTAATCCCAAAAAAAAAAAAAATACGGAGAGTATGTGACCCTCTAAAAGGAATCAGGTTCCTCCCTTTAATTTTTTTCCTATAGTTTTTTGAATATATACTTTCTGATATCTAATCAATTTAATTTTTTACAAATATGACATACTCAACAGATCTTAAAATATGAACGGTTTAAATTATTGAAATTGAGCCTAAAAGTAGGCTCAATGACCCAATAAGTAAAAAATCAAGGAGAGAAATCAATTAGAGGATCGTGATTCAAAAGAAGATAGGATAAAGTACTCTTGACTTTGATTACTGGTAAAATAGTTTTTGAAAAAAAAAAAAAAAAGAAGAAAATTTAGTAAGACCCCGAAAAATGACTTAGACCTCCAGCTGGGGGTGCTGGGGGTCGTCCCTGATTGGTGCGAAAACAATTTTTTTTTTTTTTTTGATTTCGGCCAACCACACGTTGCTACGTCACTGGGGTGGCACTGAGGAGTTGTCGGTCTGTAGCATTTCCCGTAAGACCCCATGATACATGATTGGTGTATCTGAGCAATTCTAACATTGTGAGACATTGTGTCACTTAATCGGTTCCTTATGATCAACCAAATATATCTCAAAAGATTTTTACTGTCGAAAGTTTCAAATTTAAATAGACACAATAAAATAAGATCTCATTTTAATATTTAATTTAAGATTTGAAAAATCTTAGTAAAAATATATTTTTCCAAAGAGAAAGTAGTACCCAAACCCCCTCTAGTATATTCAGATTGAATAATATTATGAATTATAAAAAATATATTATGAAATATTTTATAATTTTTTTTTATTTTTTGATTAATATGTGATGTTTTATTATATATATAATCTAAATGTGAAAAAAAGTTTATAATTATTTTTAAGATATTATTAGATTTTCATTTGCCGAAATATCCTCACATGCTACACCCAAAATAGAGTATTTAATAATTTTCCACAATAGGGAGACCCATAAGATAAGAAAATCATTCAAACCAGCTAGCTTCCATGCATGACCTATGTCTAGTAAACGGCCATTGTTTTGAAATACCTAACCTAGCTTCCATGCATGGCCTGTGCTGTCATCTTCTGCTGATACAGCTCACTTATAGCCCATATAAGATCTCATTAATATATATTTTAAAAAAAATTGACTTCTCTTATTTTGTTATTTTAATTGGAGAGAGCGTTTAGACTTGATAAGTTTATTTTGAAATTGATTTCAATAATCTAAATCGTTCACTTTTTTTAATTCATTTAATAGAATATTCATACAAAAAATTAAAATAATTGAATATCAGTAGCTATATATTTAAATTATATTTGTTTAAAAAAAATAAACAATGAATATAATTTTAAGAATTATCATTCATTTTTTGTAATACAAATTTGATTCAAACATATAGCTATTGATGTTCGATCATCTTATTTTTTGCATGAATATTCTATTCAACGAGTCCTAAAATATCAATGGCTTGAATTATCGAAACGAAACATGTGGTGAGTTCTACAAGTTTCTCAAGTTCTCTCATGTTGAGATGCGAACATAAAAGAAGCCTAACCAAAATATATATATATACACAATATCTTATTACATAAATTAATAAGGCTAAATTGTACTGACTTTTTTTTTTAATGTTTGAAGAAAATATAATAAGTTTTACAGTTGTAGTATAATTATACTAACTTCTCTTCTCGTATGGTTAAAGGGGTGGAAACTAATGTAAATGGAGTGAAAGCATAAAGATAAATAAGAGAAAATATATTAGTGTAAAAGAGATGATAATATTATTTTTTTATTCATATGACTAAAGGATTACTGATTGAAACGAGGCTAAGTATTATATAAATTGAAACTTCAAGGGAATCCCAAGTAATTATGCCAAATCTGTGGAGTTATTTATATTTTTTTCAAATTTCAAAGGAAGGTAGTGTAATTTATCCAATTAATAAATTTTACAATTTTTTTTTTATTGATATGAATTGTCTTAATATATTATAGGAGTGATATTATACAAATTAATATTTTTTTTTTAATTTCTCTTATTTCATTTTAGTTGTTTCTAATTTGCTATTCAACTAATTTTCATTATATTATAGGATATCATAATTATGAATAATTTTTTTATTAATTTATATAATAATTTTAGACCTATATTTATAGGTGCATGTGGACTTGCACGTGCAAGTGTATGCCACGATAATGTTTTCTTATTAAATAATCTTGGCTAAAAGTCACTTTTTTTTGGTTAGTA